AGGTGTGGTTCAACTCATACCTTAAGAGCTGCTGCACGGCAATGACGGGAGTCTACAAGGAGCTTCGAGTTCCCCGTGGAGATCCCGAGGAGTCGGCGGCCGGATATATCTCGTGGCTGAATGGGGCTTGTGCACAGCTCGAAGGGATCGGCAAACGTCTCGACGAGGCCCTGAAGCAGGAGTGTCGTCGATCAAGCCGGTACGCCGGAGGACATGTGCTGGCCTGCATCCGAGATCACCACCCGCAGCTACACCTCGAGTTCCTCCACGAACAGTTCTCGCATTCTCGGAGGACTCCCGCGGAGATCGACGGTCTCGCGCAATCGATGGCACCGCTTGCAGAGAAGGTTTTTCAGTCCATGGATTGGCATTGGCCGTCCTGGTAGTTTTTGAATCTTGTAAAAAATATCTCAAGGAAACATGGAATATTTTGGAATATTTATGACTTGTAAGAAACACTTGTAAAATAGAGAAGGAATCTATCTAACTAAGTTTTCTTACTCTAGGTGTGTTGTGTATGAGCGTTTTCTCACTTTGCGACTTTGATCAGTCAGTTGAGCCATACACTCTCTCTAGCCCCCAGCCTTGTTGTCAGAGAATCGTTCTCGGATGACAAGGCTCTTGGACCCTTGACCTGCCTTGGTTGAAAAAGCACTGACCCTAGCGCCCAGCCGTGATGTTGGAAAACTCAATTTCCGATTACACGGCTTGGTTAATACGCACGGTGAGAACTCTTACATGACAAGGTCTTACATGGTCGTTTGTCTCTACATGATCCGACAAGGCCTTATCCGCTCTGGGCGTCCCCAGCCGAAGTTCCCTTAGGTTCCTCAGAGGCCTTGTCAGGACGGTGTAAACGGACATGAGGATAGGTTTCAACTCTAGGTGTCGTCATGGTAAGGGATCGTCGGGAAGGAACACTTTGACCGTAATCTTTACCTGAAATCAACTTTATTGAAATCGTAAGATGTCTTACAAATATGGACACTATTGATTTATACATAAAATTTACGTAATTGATCAATGTTCCAGGAATTTGCTAACTCGCATCCATCACCATCTGCAATCTTGAATGCACTTGGCCGCAAGACTTGTGTGATCGTGTATGGTCCTTCCCATTTGGGTGAGAGCTTGTTGCGCCCTGCTTGGCTTTGAACCCATCGGAGGACGTAATCGTCGATCGAAAGTGTGCATGCTCTGATGCGCTTCTCATGGTGTCGAAACAAGATTTCGGCAATAATAAAAGGGGGTGGCTAACAAGCTAGGAAAGTGGATGGGTTTGGAGACAAGGAATTTTATACAGGTTCAGGCCTTCTTATTCAAGAAGTAATACCCTACTCCTGTCCGGGGATGATTCTGCCAAGTGTGTTATTGATTGTATGATTGGGAGAAAAAGAATCGCCCCGAGAGGAACCCGGACCCCTCCTTATATAGGGGAAGGGATCCGTAATACAAAGTACAGTCCATATCCTAACGGAATATGGGATTACAGATAAAATACAATCGTAACCGACTAGGATCCCGTGTATTTTCCTGGCATACAAGTTTAGAATCTAACCCGAGTCCTCATAAAGATATTCTATCTATATTTGGTACCGTATATCCAGCTGGAATATAACCGCCATGTAGATATGAGATAACCATAATCTCCACAGTAGCCCCCGAGACCTTCGCAGTTGACCAAAATAGTCTTCTCGAAACAAAAAACAATAATCTGAGTGCTTCAATTCAACTTGCTCCGGCTTGCCGAATGCTAAAAGACTGTGAAGGGCGAAAATAAAACATGGTGCATCAAGTAGATGCACCTAATTAGGTGTAGCCCCCGACTATGTGATTAGTTGAAAAACTAAACATATAGTCAAGAACCGAGCGATTTTATATCGAAGCATGCATGGTACTCAATAAGATACTCAGCCGACTGCTTCTCACTTGAATATATCAAGGACAAAAAAATATGAAAAGGGCCGAATGATAAACACTCAAAAGGTCCAAAAATAGATATATTTGGTAGGAATCCGAGTAAGAAACTCTTAAAATGATCCACCAAATATGATAAAGATCATGGTAATTAAGAAGTTCATTAGCCTAGGCTATAACCCTTACCATAATCAAAATAAACATATAACATGCTAGGAGGATGACTACTAATGAACCAGTCATCCCAAATTAACCCAACAGCTTTTGTAGCCTAAAAAAGCTTACAAAAATGGTATAATACCTTTCTGTCGGGCACCTTTTCATGTGCATCATATTAATTCCAAAGAATTATTGAATCGCGTTAAAAAGGATTTTAACAGCATCGGGCCGCATCATTGTGAGCACATATTGCCAAAGCAAAAGGCGCCTAAGTCCCTAGGGATCACAACAGGCCACGCTGAAAACATAATTGGGCTGAAGTACTGTACAGGCCCAGGCCCATTAGTACTCCCGATACCCTAAAAACACCGAAGTCCAAACGTCGTTTAGTCTTCCCCGCCGAGACTCTCGCCATTCCCCACTCCGTGCTACAGTACAGAACCGCGCCGACGAAGCTAGGTTTCATCAATCTGCTCCAACCCACCCTCAAAAACTTCACGAAATTTCTCCCCGCGTCCACCACTCCGATTCCCCATTCCTCTCCAGCCATATCTCGGACCAAATTAAACCATCCAGTTCACATTCATGGCGGAAGAAAGAGAAAGCTTCGAGAGTCAGTGGGCGCCCTCCGATGTGACAGAAGATAATCTGAAGGAGATGGTGGCGCACGGCGTTCTCCCAGCGATGGAGATTATCGGGTGGCAACCGGCGTTCGGCGAAGCATTCCGGACCCCTGACACACACGAAATCGTGGTATTTGCTCATTTCTTCTATGGCGGATTTTCTCTTCCAACCTCAAGATTCTTCCGGGGGATTCTGAACTTCTACGGGATTAGCTTGCATCACTTGAATCCAAACTCCATAGTGCATATTGCCAATTTTATCCATGCCTGCGAAGCTTTTCTAGGCATTAGGCTTCATTTCACCTTGTTCCGCCGCATCTTCTTCCTCAAGCCCCAGCCAAACAAAAGCAAACCGTGCGTTGTTGGGGGAGCTGGTTTCCAACTCAGAGGAACCTTGAGCCAAAAATATTTCTCCATGCCCTTCAAAACCTCAAACAAAGGCTGGCATGTAAACTGGTTCTATGTTCAAAATCCTGAGCCCGCACTCCCTGAGTACTGCTGTCTTCCTCCGGTTTACCAGGACACATGGAACTCATTGCCTATGTGAGATGAAGCTGCTCAGGCAGTGGAATTGATGGAACGCATGCTAAAACTGAAGGAACAAGGTTTGCAGGGAGAACAGATCACTCCGCACTTCATCAAAAGTCGATTAGCTCCAATCAAAGAGAGATCCCGCATAGCTTTTGAGTTTGATGGCAAGCATGATCCAAATCGGGAAGATCCAGATTCTCTTGACTTTAAGGTCATGAAAGAAAGAATGTACAAGATCTTCTCAAACGCTATTGTTGTCAGCTATTCACATCTGCTGCCCGTTGTGCCATTCAATGCATTCAACCCTCCTCCACCGGTATGCACTCAAACATTTCAACCTTCCTCAAAAGTATGCTTTTACCCTCTGTTAAGCTAATTGAAAGTTCGAAATATCATGCCCAGGAATTTGCTTTGATGAAATCGGATCCTCCAATTGCTCAACGTCGATTACCTCGCCAGTAGACTGGTCAGGCGAGTGGAGGACCAAAAATTCGATCTGACGCTCGACCAAGTGCTTCTGATCCAGTCGGCCAGTCAAATGCTCGCAAGAGGAAGCTGGTTCTAAGCGACGAGGAAGGCGATGACACCGGAAGGCTCGAAGACAAAGGAGCGACCGGAAAATCCCCGAAGCCAACTAATCCGAAGAAGAAAACCTCCAGTCATCCTTTGCCAAAAATCAGAAAGTCTTCCAGGTACAAATCATTTGGCCATCTTCCTTGTCTTGCAGCTTACCCACTGTTGAAATAATACTAACAGCATAACTCAAACTCGTAGGAAGCCGTCTGACATAGATCCTTCTGAAAAAGACCCCGAGCCGGCTGACATAAAGGCAAACCCTTCAAAAGAAACCGGGCCAACTGCAGAGGATTGTCCGAGTGACAAACAACCGACAACCGACAATGTAGAACCCAGCAACGAGCCCCCGACTGGGAACCAGTCGGCCGAATCTGAAGTCGGTGCTAACCAGGAGCCCCCGACTGGAAACCAGTCGGATGCAGGGCCAAACCAAAAGATTCCTGAGGTTGAAGCTCAAACGAACAGTCCTCTCGGGAAGGATGCTGACAGTGAATCAGAAACCAAATCTCCTGTGAAGACACCAAAGTCCACTCATCCCCGACCGGGAATCATCACAGGTAGACACGCTATCTGAAATCATCTTGATCCAACAGACTTTATTTGGCTGCTTCATCTTCATTCATGGATACACTAGGGCCAATAATTGGTGATGAATAAGAAATCCTCCGGATACAAGCAGCTGAGGATTCATGCCCTCCGATTCTGGTCAAGTGGTGGGATGACAACATGCAGCCTCAAGGGATCGTGATAAATAAGCAAAAAGAGGACGAAGAGTTATGCCTACTGAAGAAGGCACTTGGTCAGGCAACCCGCATTGTAAATGTAAGCCCTCTGGTACATGATCTCAACCATCTTGTTTGCCATTTAATTCATGCGCTAATTAAACTGTCTTGCAGAGGATTCATCTTAGGAACGAAGCCAAAACGGTAACCTTAGAAAGGTTAGTCCCTCATCTCGGAACCCTCGAAGCCACCAGGAATCAACTGCACGAAGCGAAAGAACTTGCCAGGAAGAATGAACATTATCTGAAAGATCGGATCGCTGAGCTCCAGGAATCAAATTTTGAACTGAGTGGCTCATCAAAAGGTACGCACAAACTCTGCTCAACTGACTCGTACTGTTATCTTTGCAATCTTGATTAACCGTAATCAATGTAGTGCAAGCTGCCAAGATATCTCAGTTGGGGAAGCAGATTCAAATTCTGGAAAATGACAAGGCAGAACTGGCAAGACAAAGAGACCTGGCTTTAAAGGAAGTTGAAGGTATCAACAATCAATACCTCAAAAGCCATTATCCTCCATATGCTGACTTATTAATGTGGATCTGTTGATGCAGACCGCAAGATCAAATCTCAAGCTCAATTCGACGTCCTGGTTGGCAAGATCAAAAAACTTGAAGGAGCCCGGGATGAGGTTGCTAACGCTGCTGCCCCAATTGTTCAAGCGATGTTCTTCAATAACAACGGCCTGAGTGCACTTGATGCTTCTAAAATTTTCGACAAGCTGAGAGTTGCTCTGGATACATATTTCAAGAGCATCAAAGAAGCTGGAAGTATGAGAGCAAGTCTGGCGTTGGCGATGACCAAATCTCTTTATCCGAGGGTTGACGTTGATGCCATTGATGGCTTTGCAGACGGGACGAGCGAAGGAGCTGCTCTTGACCTCATCAGCGATGCACAAAAATCTGCTGATAAGATAGCAGCTGATGTAGTTGAGAGATTTCAGGACACCGATCTTCGACCGACTGGTCCTGATAATTCTGATGATGAAAAGACTGATACTGATTAATGTACCAATGATGTTGATAATTAATGATGATGGAGGCACAATTTGTACAATACTGATGAATTTATGCTGTGCTTGATATCTTAACTTAGTTCCTGATTTCTTAAAAGTTTTTGTCAAACCTTGTTGAGCCTAAAACCCGCAAAAGTTGTTAAAAAACTTTCAGTCCTCATTGACTAAGCCAAGAAATCAAACAGGGCAATGATACATCAAGTAAGCAAATTGGATTGATAAAAATCACACTCCATTATTATTATAGTAGCCCCCTGACTGAAAACTTCAAGGAAAAACTTGAAGTTAGCAGTCAAAGAGGAAAGATACAAACGAAATGCCTAAGCGTAAAATCGACGAAGGTGTTCAATATTCTAAGAATTGTTGATGAGAGTACCGTCTTCGCGCTTGAGTCGATAAGAACCCGGCCGAGTGACTTCAGCAATTATGAATGGTCCTTCCCATAAGGGAGATAATTTATGCCGATCCTGTGTTGTTTGAATTTTCATCAGAACCAGGTCACCGACTAAAAAGGCTCGCGATCGAACATTCCGATTATGATAACGACGCAACCCTTGCAAATATCGAGTCGACTGAATGAAAGCTGCTTCTCGGGCTTCTTCTAATCGATTGATGCCGTCTACTCGGCCCTCTTCATAGCCCTCCTCATTGAAGTTCCGAAATCGTAGTGATTCAAATTCCACTTCACTCGGCAACATTGCTTCTACGCCGTAAACCAAAAAGAACGGCGACTGGCCGGTAGCCCGACTAGGAGTAGTGCGTAAAGACCAAAGTACGGACGGCAGCTGATCTACCCACTTACCAGCATAGGGACGTAGTCGGTCAAAAACTCGTGCTTTGATCCCTTGAAGTATCATGCCGTTAGCGCACTCGACTTGTCCGTTACTCATAGGGTGTGCCACGGATGCGTAACAAATTTTAATGCCGAAGTCTTCACAAAAGTCTTTAAATGCTCCGCCAGTGAATTGAGTGCCATTATCAGTGATGATCCGATTAGGTACCCCAAACTGATGCACAATGTTGATGAAAAAATCTCTAGCTTTATCTGTTGTGATCGTGATGACCGGTTTAGCCTCAATCCACTTGGAGAATTTGTCGATAGCCACAAAGAGATGCGTGTAACCGCCGACTGCCCTTTTAAACGGGCCGACCATGTCAAGCCCCCAGACCGCAAAGGGCCAGGACAACGGGATGGTTTGCAACTCTTGGGCTGGCAAATGAGTTTGTCTGGCAAAAAATTGACAACCTTCGCATGTCCACACAATCTTGTCCGCATCGGACACAGCTGTAGGCCAGAAAAAACCTTGCCGGTAAGCTTTGCCGACAATGGTCCGTGCAGTAGCATGATTACCACAAATACCAGAATGTATATCCTTCAACAATTGTCTCCCTTCCTCCAAAGATACACAGCGCTGCAGTATTCCTGATGGACTTTTCTTGTACAGTTCAGCTTCATGAATAATGTAAAGTCTGCTGCGCCTGGAAATCCGCTCGGCTTCATTTTTGTCTTGAGGGAGTTCTTGTTTGGTCAAAAATTTTATGAGAGGTTCTCTCTAGTCGGCTTCAATCATGCTTATGCCTTGAGTATCCATGGCTTCAATTGCTTCTTTCCTGGGCACGGTTGGTTCATAAAGATGCTCAACGAACACATCAGAAGGGGCTGCTTCCCGTTTTGAACCAAAATTGGCCAGTGTATCGGCTGCCTCATTGTTATGTCGAAGGACATGGGTGAGCTCGAGTCTATCGAATTTATCTTCCAGCTTGCATACCTCTTGTCGGTAAGCGGTCATATTATCATCTAGACATGACCACTCTTTCATGACTTGATTAACAACCAACTGAGAGTCTCCACGGACGATTAATCGGCGAATGCCTAAAGAGATTGCAATCCTTAATCCATGGAGTAGCGCCTCGTATTCCGCCATGTTATGGGATGCAGAAAAATGTATCCACAATACGTAGCTCAATCTTTCTCCAGTCGGGGAAATCAAGACGACCCTAGCTCCAGTGCCTGTGAGCCTCTTCGACCCATCAAAATGCATTGTCCAATATTCCATCTTTTCCTCTGGCATGTCTTCTTGGCACTCGGTCCACTCGGCAAGGAAATCAGCTAAAGCTTGTGACTTGATCGAAGTTCGTGGCTTGAACGATATGTCCAAAGACATCAACTCTAAGGCCCACTTCGCAATCCGTCCATTTGCTTCGCGATTGTGAAGTATATCTCCGAGTGGAAATGATGTGATCACCGTGACCGAGTTACTTTGAAAGTAGTGAGATAATTTCCTACGTTAATTAAGACACCATATAATAACTTTTGAACCTGAGGATATCTTGTCTTGGAGTCGGCTAAAACTTCGCTAACAAAATAAATTGGACGTTGGACTTTTTGAATATGGCCTTCCTCTTTACGTTCGACAACCAGGACCGTACTCACAACCTGGTAGGTCGCCGTCACATATAACAGTAGCGGCTCTTGTGGATGTGGCGAGGCCAAAACTGGTGGAGTGGTGAGAAGTTTCTTGAAGTCTTCAAAGGCTTTCTGTGCTTCGGGTCCCCACTGGAAATTGTCAGTCTTCTTCAGCAACTTGAAGAAGGGCATCCCCCGCTCGCCGAGTCGTGAGACGAACCGGCTGAGCGCCACCATGCAACCAGTCAGCTTTTGGACGTCCTTTTGGGAGCTTGGCGGTTTCATGCTGAGGATGGCGTTGATTTTCTCCGGGTTGGGCTGTATGCCTCTTTGAGATACCATAAATCCGAGCAACTTCCCTGACGGTACTCCGAAGATGCACTTTTCCGGGTTTAGTTTCATCTTGAAAGCACGAATGCTTTTAAAAGTTTCTTCTAAATCCGCAATCAGGTCATCCTTCTGCTTGGTCTTGACGACTACATCATCAACATAAGCTTCGACATTGTGACCGATCTGGGTTGAAAACATTTTTGAATCATGCGTTGATAGGTTGCTCCTGCGTTCTTCAATCCAAAGGGCATGGTGATGTAGCAGTAGGCCCCAAAGGCCCCAAAGGGCGTAATAAACAAGGTCTTCAAGCAGTCAGATTCTTTTAGTCGGATCTGATGATATCCCGAGTAACAGTCCAAGAAGCTGAGTAACTCGCAGCCAGCCGTTGAGTCAACCACCTGGTCAATGCGAGGTAACCCAAAAGGGTCTTTGGGACAAGATTTGTTGAGGTCGGTATAATTGACACACATGCGCCATTGCCCCGTCTTTTTCCGAACCAGGACTGGGTTAGCCAGCCAGTCGGGATGAAGGACTTCCTTAATGAAGCCCGCTGCTAACAGCTTGGTTAATTCCTCCTTGATCGCATCCTTCCTGTCCTGTGCAAAACGACGGAGTCGTTGCTTGATGGGTTTGGCATCTTCCTTAACATGTAAAGAGTGCTCAATCACCTCTCTGGGGATACCAGGCATATCGGATGGTTTCCACGCAAAAATATCTTTATTATTCTAAAGAAAGGTGATGAGCGCGCTTTCCTATTTACAATCTAACTCAGCGCCTATTACAGCAGTCTTATCAGGATCGGAGGGATCTAAGGGAATCTTTTTCGTTTTGGCATCACTTTCTTCGGTCTTCGTCAGCTTGGTTGCAGGCACTTCTCCCTCGCTTGCCGTGGTCGCAGCCAGTCGGATCTCTTCGCGGGCGAGAGTAGTCTCGTGGGTTTGGGGCATCTCGCAACTTTCTTTGTCGCATGTGACGGCCTGCTTGATGTCGCTCCGTAGTGATATGACTCCTCCAGGACCAGGCATCTTCATCATCATGTAGGTGTAGTGTGGGACGGCCATAAATTTAGCTAAAGCCGGTCGTCCAAGTATAGCATGATATGCTGTCTCGAAATCAGCAACTTCGAAACAAACATTTTCTGTGCGAAAATTCTCCCGAGTGCCGAAGGTAACTGGAAGAGTGATCTGGCCGACTGGTGTAGCTGACAATCCTGGGATAACATCGTGGAAGGGTGCATTACTCGGCTTTAATTCCGTGCGAGGAATCTGCATATCGTCCGGGGTCTTAGCGAAAAGGATGTTGAGTGCGCTGGCACCATCGATGAGAGTCCGTCGGAGCTTGACATTGCGAACCACTGGGTCTAGTACCAGGGGGTACCGCCCCAGGTGGACTACTCGGTCGGGATGATCCGAGCGGTCGAACTTAATTGCTATCTCTGGCCACCGAAGATATTGGGGCGTGTTAGGCTGAACCGCATTGATCTCCCGTTCTGTTAGCTTCTGTTTTCTCTTAGACTCATAAGCCAGGGTTCCGCCGAAGATGTAATTAAGTTCTTTGCGATGATCTGGAAAACCAGTCGGAGCATCGTCTTCATCATCTTTCTTCTTTGATGTGCCTTGATCTCCGTCTGAAGGTTTACGTGCGTTCTTGACGTATTGCTCCGCGAACTGTTTGTAGACGAAGCAATCTTTGGCCACGTGGTTGGAGTTTGGATGATGCGGACATTGGGAGTTCATTATCTTGTCGAAGGTGTTGACGCGGGAACGTTGTCGGGAAGATGGAGAGGTGGTCGCCACAAGCTCTTTGGGCTTACGCTTGCGATCCTTGTGGTTGTTACTTCCACTCCCTCCTACGGTCGGCGTGTCCTTCTTTGGCTTCCAAGTGGTGCCCGACTGTTTGGACGCGGTAATAGCATCTTCGGCTTTGGCATACTCGTTGGCTTTTTCGAACATCTGCTTAACCGTCCTGGGAGGTTTACGTCTAAACTTGCCGACTAGGTCCTCGTGGCGAATGCCTTTAGTGAAGGCGGCGATGATGACGTCGTCGGTGATGTCGGAGATCTTGTTGCGTTGTTCGGAGAAGCGTCGGATGTAATCTCGAAGAGATTCTCCAGACTTCTGAACGACGTTGTAGAGATCAAACTATGTGCCGGGGCGTTCAAAGGTGCCCTGGAAGTTGGCGATGAAGTGATCACGAAGTTCCGCCCATGATCCGATCGTGCCACGGGGTAATCCGTGGAGCCAGGATCGGGCGG